CTTCCTCTCATAGATTCCATACACGAGCAGTTACAGTCAGCCACTATCTTCACAAAATTAGACTTACATAATGCCTACCACTTGGTACGCATAAAGGAAGGCGACGAATGGAAGACGGCCTTCCGAACCCCGTTAGGTCACTTCGAATATCTCGTTATGCCGTTTGGTCTCACTAACGCCCCTGCCGTCTTCCAGGCGCTAGTGAATGGCGTACTTAGGGACTTTTTAGGGGACTTCGTTTTTGTATACCTCGATGATATTTTAATTTACTCACGTGACAAAGAGGAGCACATCAAAAGGGTCAGAACGGTACTTCAGCGTTTATACGAGAATCAATTATTCGTCAAAGGCGAAAAATGTGAATTTCATGCTTCGTCAGTCTCTTTTCTGGGGTTTATTTTCGGAGAGGGGCATTATCGTACCGACCCTGAGAAGATTAGAGCTGTAGTCGAATGGCCCATTCCTGAGACTCGCAAACAGCTTCAGCGTTTTTTAGGTTTTGCAAACTTTTACAGACGCTTTATCAGGGACTACAGCCGTATTGCCACACCACTCTCTCAACTTACTTCCATCAATAGAACCTTCAAATGGACTACAGACGCAGACACAGCTTTCAATAAATTGAAACAACTCTTCTCGTCGTCACCCATCCTCTGCCATCCTGACCCCGAACGCCAGTTCATCCTAGAAGTGGACGCCTCCGACACTGGGGTAGGAGCAGTCCTCTCTCAGAGATCCCCCAGAGACAATAAGGTACACCCCTGTGCCTTTTTTTCTCGGCGCCTGTCCCAAGCCGAGCGTAATTACAATGTGGGTAACCGCGAATTATTGGCCGTCAAACTGGCCTTGGAAGAGTGGCGTCACTGGTTAGAAGGTACTGAGATCCCCTTCCTCATCTGGACCAACCACAAAACCTGACTTATCTAAGGGATGCTAAGAGATTAACCCCCAGACAGGCACGATGGTCTTTGTTCTTTAATCGTTTTCATTATATTTTGACTTTTCGACCTGGCTCGAAAAATATCAAGCCAGATGCCCTGTCTCGTCAATTCTCTCCTCTGAAGGGTTTTGATATTTTCCTTCCTCCAGGTTCCTGAAGGCAGGGGCGGCGCTGATGAGCAGCTGCAGCTGAGGCCAGTTTCATTAATTGATGCCAGGAGTACTTAAGGCTCCAGTGGAGCTCCAGTCAGTGCTGGAGCATTGTTTGACCTGCCGGTACATATGCCTCCAGCCCTGTACAGTGCTTAAAGATTTAGAAAGACTTACCTTGTTTTGTGTCCACGTTTTCAGAGTCTGAATGTACCGGATCCTGTCCTGTAATTCGAAGTATTGGAGAAGATCCTG